AGGAATTTAGTGCACAGAAGAAATGAGACCACAGGCTGTGAACCAGGGAAAATAGAAGAACCATTCTCTTTGAACAGTCAAAGGAAGCTAGTGTCCCATAGAAAGACTCCTGGTAAAGATGGCACCCACCACTAGAGGCGACAGGCCCACTTAGAATATTAGGATAAGATGTAATATTACAGCAATAAGTGAAGGGTGGGGTTTTATAGATGACTAGGACTATCGTCGTTATCTGTAGGCTTGCATTATACCTTTTACTAAATTACATGTTCTTTGAGGACAGCTACTATGCCATCTTTTCGCCTTTGTTTCTCCAAGTTGGCACTGTACTGCTCATATAGTAGGAAAAGGTTCCACATAAAGTTTGAATAGTATAGTGGAAGCTTAAGAAATGTTTGTTCAATTTAACTTCTTTAATTTAAAGCAGCCTTAATAATTGCCTATTGATTATGAATCAAAGAAACTGAAAAGGATAAAAGCAAGTCAGAAGTGCAGGTTTACTTCATTCCAGTTTAATAAACATTATTTGAGATACACATTATGTGTAACAAAGTCCTACTCCAATGTCTCCTTGTGGAGTGGGGGGGGACCTAAGGTTCTTGAAGGCTACCGACAGAGCATAAAATTGGGAAAATTCTATGCTGGAAAGACTTCCTATAAAGTCCCAGCAACAGACAGTGTCTGCTCTCTGAGGATAGACCTCACTAAATTACAGAGATGCTTATCTCCAGCAGGATGGCCAATTGGTGATGAATAAAGAATTCCATAGGTTGTCATAGCAACCAATGAAACAAAGAAAAATTAAAATGATCCACAATCCTGTGTGGGGCCCCTTTCCCCTTCTGTTGTGACAGTGGCAGAGTCATAGGAAAGGGGCAGAGTGCTAAGAATCACACTTTTCGAAATGTCTACAAACAGTCACTTAGCTGTTAGAACTCTAAATGTGAGATCCTTGTCCAGTATTGAGTGGATAGACTATAAGAAAACTGCCATATCAACAGTGACATTTTTGCTATAAATAAAACCAGAAAATATGAGCTGCCTTAAAAGTTCTCCTATAAGGCATCTCCCGTGCATAAGTCAAAATCATGTAAGATCTCTCAAAAGATGAGACTATGGTGATAACTTTGTTCAATAACCCTCTAATTATTAAAATCAAGCACAAGGAGAGGTATGCTTGCCAAATGTGTGTGCTTCTGCCGTGTTGGATTTCCAAGGCAGAGTAGAAATTGAAGAGAGGTTCCTAATATCTTCTGAGGTCCTTTAACCACTTCCATTGGCAGATTACATTTGCCGGCTAATATCTCAAGTGGACTTGTGGCCTTCAGTGATGGATCACCATCTTTACTGGCAGCCCACCAGCTCTCTTTGTCAGGAAAGCATTTCTCTTTTTTGCGTAGCTCATATCCTGTGATCTAATTTTTCCTATGTGCTCAGTTGTATTTCCTTCCTGAGAGACAATACCAGCTTGCAGGCAGAGACAATACCAGGTCATGCAACATTGCAGAGATGCCCAAATGAGATCTATAATCAATCAAAAAAATTCAGCCTGATGTGGGCAAAACTAAACGAGTGAAAAGCGCCTCATGATCTGGCTATGATTTGAGGTTGGAGAGGTAACACATAGAATGTAGGTCCATCATACCTTGGACAGACTGTGCAGATGGACAATGAGCTGGGCCCAGAATTAACAGGAGGAGGAGGATGAGACAGATTACTTTTGTGAAATGAACCTATGATCCTCAGTTATAATATATATATAGCCCTGTCTCTCTTCAGTTTGAAGAACTGAACTGGAGACAATAAATTGTGTCTGCCCAAGGGGTGCATGATGATGGGTGGAACTGGTAACTGACAGATGCTGAAGAAGTCAGTAGAGTTGGATGAGAAGGGAGCAGTGGTAATTCAGAAGAGACTTGGGAGGCTTTTTTCCCCTTATGTCACATGGGTAAGATGGTCCAGAAAAATGAAATAACCCATTGTCTTGACTGAGAAACTGGTGGATGGGCTGAGAGTGCTAAAAAGATGGCAACATCATGAGGAATGTCTGCAAGGTGGAGAGTGATCAGAACCACGTCCCCACCCCTCTGCTTTTGACCTAAATGGGGCAGAACACTATAGGTGACTGAGTTCTTCTGCTCCTTTGAGACTGATGGCTACTCATTTAAGGAATTCCATTTCATTTTCCTCCTTTTAATAAAACTTTCTTCAATAATATTATGAACTGCACGCTCATGCACGTAAGGGCAAGGATCTGGTCTAGTGCATTGAGGAGCTGTAATGAATGTTTGGATGGAGATTATGACCTAAGAGAATGAGAAAATTCTTTGCAAAATACCTGGGAATTTTAATTCGGGAGACAGTCTCTGATGCGAGGATTGCATGAGTGTTTAGGAAAGGGTCAAACAAAATGGTAGGAGAGATTCTAAGAAGGAGATATCACTTATAGTTGGGGATACTAGGAATACGCTTCATGGAGAAAGTAGGCCCAGACCTACATCTTGACTGTATGGGTAGGGAGCCATGGAAGTGGTAACTATATGGCCCTTCTCCATAGTACCTAGCAAAACCTAAACTGTCTCTTTTGTTGGCCTGTCTTACGTATCTCATGTCAAAGCTTTCTCTCAGCTAGATGTCACTTGGAAGCAATCTGATAAATTAACAAAGACTGAATTTGTATTACTCTAAACTACTGGTCATGGTCTCAATATTCTAGCCTATTTTTGGATCCTGATTCTGCCATCCACTGCATTAGCTATCCCTCCCAGCTAGTAAGAGTGTAAGTCTAGATTTGAACTCAGGAAGAGGGGTCTTGCTGACTCCAGGCCAGGCACTTAATCCACTAAGCCACCTAGTTGCCCTTAGGCAATAATTACAACTTATAAATTGAATTTTCATTTCAAGGCTTCACATTTTTCTTATGGACGGAGCTATAGACTGCAGATCTTCAGGGAATCCAGCATCTCTATTTCTGCATATTAATTTAATTCAGCAAATATTTATGAAAAGCTTGAGCTATCTGCAAGGTATTATTCTCAGTGCTGGGAATTAAAAAATGAAACGAGACACAGTCCCTTCCTCTAGGAGCCCACTATTTGTTGGGGAATGACTGTAATACAAGACCTGCAGTCAGGGAGACAGTATGGTGTATTGGATAGAGTCCTGGACTCAGAATCATTAAGACCTGGGTTCAAGGATGCTGAAGTTAACTCCAACCACTTCCCCTCTTGTGAGAGTTGACTGTTAAATTTTCAGCGTGATCATCTGTTTACACCTCAGAAACTGGCAAATGCCACAAATCAAGGCTTGATTTATTGTTTTGTTGCTTGTTTCTACTTTTTACCAGCATCTTCCTGCCTGGGTTCAAATCCCAGCTCCAAGACTGATTAGTTTTGTCACCCTGAGCAAGTTACTTCACCTTTCCAGATCCTCGGTGTCTCCATCTGTTAAGTGGAGGTAATAATACCTGCAGTGTGTGCCTTGCTGGCACTAAATAAGAGAATGTATGTGAAGTGTTTTTCAGATGTTAAAGGGCTGGGCAAATGTGAGTGGTCAGTGAGGACAGAGGGGAGATCTCTCCTAGCTGGTGGGGAATCAAGGAAGGCTCTATGTAGGTCATAACACCGGATCTGGGTCCTTCTTTGAAGGAAAGGAAGTATTTGTAGCATGGTGCAGGAGAAAGAGTGGCAGATTTGGAATCAAAGGATCTGGGTTCAAATCTTAGCTCTGCCACCTAGTATCTATGTGACCTTTAAGAAGGTCAGGTCTTTAAATCTCTTGAGCTTGAGTTTCCTCACATATAAAATGAGGGGGGTGGAACCAAAAGATCTTTGATGTCCTTTCTGTCTCTAAGTCTATGATCCCTTGAACAGACAAAAATTTAGAAAGAGATCACTGTAGGCATAAGGGATGACCTGTGAGAAGGCAGGATAATATTGGGGAATGGCTGGTATCCTAGTTTGGCTGGAATGGAACTCCATGAAAGATAGAGAGGTAGCTTGGAGCCAGAATGAGCATTGAGAAGGTTATTTTGTAGGTATAGAGAGGCAGCCTGATGCAGGAAATGGAGAGATGGCCTTGGAGTAGAAGACCTGACTTTTGGAAGACCTTGGACAAGTCATTTCACTTCTCAGGGTCCCTTGCATCTCTCTAAATCTCTAAGTGGCAGAGTAGGATGCAGGCTGCACTAACCTGCTGTGGTGGCATGAGTTTCCTCACCAAGAAGTTCCCTGGACCAATGAAATCATGTCTGGTCCAAAACAAAACAAAAAAAAGGACTTTTAGGATAATAAGGTTTAGAATTCAAAGGAATTGCATCTATATGGAATATTCATTGGTGGAGGAGGGGCTGAGAAGAGGCAGGGAGACTAATTAGAAGGCTAATGATAATAATGATAGGTAGGTAGATATATAAAGTATTTTTCATTATTTATTTATATATTTACATATATTCATATACCACCATTCTCTCTCTCTCTCTCTCTCTCTCTCTCTCTCTCTCTCTCTCT